GCCGTCGACAGAGAAGCTGAGAACATTCAAATCACAGTCAAACAATGACAATAATCTGTAAAACATAAAAACTGTGAAATATAATTTACATGATGCGTTGAGGGTTCCAAAGAAGAGAGTAGGTATGGAAATCCTTGGTGGGATCGAACCAAAGGTGAAACTGCTGCTCTCTGTCTCCTTTTCCTCCGCAATATACATTCGTGTGAACCGTGTACGGCTCGCCGGAGAGGTTCCCCAAGAACTCGAAGTCTATTTCGTCCCACGTCGATCCTTGTGAACGTAGCTGTTCAGTTCAGCCACGGATAATTAAACATCACCAAATAGTACTTCGTTTATTCGCAATACAAACTAACAACTTACATAATACGTCGTGACGGTGCCGGCAGAGTTCCCCGGAACGAGCTTGACGCTCATGTCAATCTTCCCAAAAAGATATTCATTTCTGGACTGAAAACCAGAACCGGAGGATTTGTCAAGGCTGAGCGTCAAAAGCTGGCCGTTCTCCAGAATCTTCCCCCTGCCATCTCCCCACGTAACTTCAACGTCTTGGTTAAAGTTCGCAGCCGAAGCAACCAACACAAAGCCGAGCAAAACAGATACTACACGGCCAAATGAAGAGCTCATCGTCATCTCCAAGGGGTTTTGATTTGATTTTTTGAGCGTTTTTGAGACGGGGAGTGTTGTTATATAGGGGAGGATTTGGTGAGAAAATAGATGTGGAGAGGTATTGGGAAGTTTCGTGCTTGGGAGCTGTAAACAGCTGGAAAATGGAAGAAGAGAAAGAGAGGGTCCAAATATTAATAATGGCGATCGATGGCCATTCCTTGGTTCCATTCCATGCAAGTAAATGCTTATACGTTTGGTGCTGCCATTCTATGTTTGATTACAGTGCTTGCCAGGAATTTAATCGGTAGTTCGAATACTAAAAGGGTTCCACTTTATTTGATAGGTTCGAGTTTAATTCGGTTGATTTTGAATTGAGGGTAAAGTATACAAATGATCCCAACTATAACGTATTGTGTTATTAAGTTTTTTTACTATAAAAAATTACAAAATGATCCTTTGACTATAGTATGTTGTTTTGTTGAGTCCATCGACTATTTAAAGTTACAAAATAGTCACATGAGTATTCATTGTGTTCTAAACTCGTCCTTTGACTATAAATGTTAACTTATTGACTATGATATGATAAAATATGATCTTAAAATCTCAAATAACTATCATATTTCAGTCATCATGTTAACGTTCACCTTAGACGACTGCTAATTTTTTAACGATAAAGGACAAGTTTGGAACATAACTGTTAACAGTCGAGGGACTTAACAAAGCAACACTCTATAGTCAAAGGATCACTTTGTAACTTTTAATAGTCGAGGAACTTAATAAAGCATCACCTTATAGTCGGGGGACCATTTGTGTACTTTACCCTTGAATTAATATGAAATTTGATTTAAATCATAATTATTTAATTAAGGGGCAAAATACACTTATAACAACTAAATAATAAGAGGATTTTAGTCTGATTATTGATCTTTTATTTTTATCAAACATGTCACTTAATTATTTTAACTTATAACCACTTAATTATAAGGGATTTTAGTTTAATTATCGATCTTTTATTTTTATCAATCATATCACTTAACTATTTTAACAATGCTAAGAAAGAAAATTTGGGATAATTACACATTTCATCCTCATTGCATACATATTCCATCAATTCAGTTTTAGTTTTGAGGATTAAAATTAGGAGTAAATTGAAGGAATTTGTAAGTAATGAGGATGAAATATGTAATTATCCTAAATTTGTCAACTATTTTACAAATGGTAACGACATGTGATTTGATTGACATCATTTAAATAATTAAATTGTTTAATTGATAAAACTAAAAGATTGATGATCGTATTAAAATCTCCATAAAATTAAATGGACACGAACGTAATTTGGGGGAAGGAGTCTGGGGGTAATGGCATTCCTTTAGTCCGATGGGAGACGGTGTGCCAACTAGTTTCTCATGGGGGCCTTGGTTTTCGGCGGATGGATGTCCAGAACGAAGCCTTCTTGATGAAAATCACCTTTAACATCATTAAGTGCAAGAATACTCTTTGGGTGCGTTTCCTTCAGGCGAAGTACAAAACGGAGGAAGATGTGCCAATAACTATCCGTTCTCAAAGATGTTCTAAACTTTGGAAGGGTATTGGCATAGTTTGGCAAGATGTTCGGAATAACATTACTCATGTTGTGGGTAATGGTCATTCTATTGATTTCTGGATGGATAAGTGGATCCCGAATTTGCAACCATTATTTAACTACGTTAACCAAAATGAGCTCAGCCGGTGTGTTTCGAGTTCTTTTACCAACATGGCGGATGAAGCGGGTTTTATTTGACCATTTGCTTCCGATTCATATTTTGTTGAGATTGGCTGCAATTAAAGGGCCGGTGCAAGGTGGTTCGACGGATACAATTGGTTAGTGTCCTTGTAATGACTTGAACTTCTCCGTCAAGTCCGCTGATGAGATTCGAAATCGCCCTAATATTGGTACGTCTGATAATGTCTAGAAAGCTATTCAAAGGTACAAAGGATTGCAACGGGTGAAGATCTTCTTATGGACTCTGAGTTGGGAAAAACTCATGACTAATCCCGACCGCTTGAAAAGGCACTCTTGCTGCGCTGATTCGTTAGAGGACATCAATCATGTTTTTCGAAAATGCAACATTATTTACTTCATTTGGGTGCTGCTTATTAAGCAAGAGAAGCTGGAGGAGTTTATGTCTATGGATATTAAATCCTGGATCCATGTCAATATGGTACATACGAGCTACTTCGCCAAGGATGACAGAGGTTGGGAAATATTATTTGGTGCTATCCTGTGGAACACATGGCGACAGCGTAATGCAATCATCTTCGACAGTCCTTTGGATGATAATGCCGGCGTACTTGAACGTAGCAGCAGCGTGTAAATTTGGGGGTGGGGGGGGAGAGACATAATTCACATGTGGGTGCTGTTACTTGGATGATGCCGCCAGACTCTTGGATTAAGCTTAATATTGATGGTGCTCGTAGAGATAGCAATGGCTTTGCTTCATGTGGCGGTGTAGCCCGGAATCATGTGGGGGATTGGATGTTGGGGTTTAGAAAGTTTCTCTGGGTGTGCTCGATTTATAGGATGCTTGATTGGATCGTTTACAACATGTTTTGCGACAAGGTAACCACGTTGCTGACAATCTTGCGAGAAGTGCTGGTCCAGAGATTATATCCACGCAGTTCGTTGATGTCTCTCCCGATGAGGTGGTTCCTCTTTTGAATAAGGGGTGATATCGTTGTTGTTTGGGTATCCTGATGTGGGCCTCGGGCAAACTGTTTTGCTCTTAATTTGCGCATGTTGTACTATTTTTGTTGTGTGTACCCTTTTCCTCTTACAGGTTTAAAAAGGTTTTTAACCAGACATATAGTAATAATCTCCTTTCACCAAAAAATAATAATTAAACATTACATTGATTAAAAAGTTTATATCACAAATAAATATTTTAAGTTATCATTTTTTTTATCCAGATACATAAAGTACTTTGGTCCATCTTTCTCAAAAATAAATAAAAAAATATTTTGGTCCAAATAAATATCTAAAGTATAGTATAAATTTCATCTAGGTTCTTAAAAGTTTATATATGACATTGATTAAAAAAATACTTTAGGTACCTTGATGAAGAGATTGTACATTTAAATACATACTTTCGGGGATGGATCTAAAGGAGGGCGAGTGAGGGTACTCGTCCCCTTTTTTAAAAGTTTTTTTTTATATTTTTTATATTTTTTATTAAAAATATGTTCTCGTTTCTTTAAAATTTTATAAATTATTTCATAATTAAAATTTTATAAATTCGTTCTATCTAACATGAAATTCTACATTCATCCCTACCTACTTTGACAATAATATATGTTTTAAATACTTTTTTAAATATATCAAATTATAAAATAGTATCTATATTTAATAATAAATCTGGTTAAATTCACAAATTTATATAGATAAAATTACACGAATTTAGATTACCTAAAAAACAACATTCTTTTTGTGTACTTACTTTAACCTTATATATTTTGCATGAATTCAATCTAAAAAAATTTAAATACCTAAATAAAAGGGTTGATATACATTAAATAGTTATTTGTAATATATGTTTTTGAGAATTACATAAATTTAAAAACTCAAAAAATGATTTCAATGATAAAAAAATATTGTTCTTCAAGTTCAATCAGAGTTCAATCAGTTTTGTTTGCAAGACTATAAATATACATAGATTTATTTAAAATTTTAATCAAATACAAATATTTTCATAATTATTTTCAAAAAATATATAAATTAATTATTAATAAATATAAACAACTGAAAAGGGCAAAATCTGTGAAATAATGTGTTGAAAAAAATTTTGCTCATATGATGCAGTCGAAGGATTATTTGCCCATCTAGGACTATATTTTTTCATAGGTCGTCATATCTTCCAAACGACCTATGTTGATCGTTATGTGCTCCGAATAACGATTACCTAAATTTCCCTAAATAACAAATGTTACCTATATCGGTAATTAGGCATCTCGCCAGTATAAGGTCGCTAGGCGTTCAAGCATGTCCGTGAGGCAATGATCACAGAGGCGCATATTGAGGGTGTTACAAGTCAGTCGCATTTTTAATAATTTTAAATTTTTAATATATATATATTTTTTTAAAATCTATATGTTAAACCTAGTGTCTTATATTCATGTTTAAGAATAGTTTGATATCATTTAAATAAAATATCAAATTTAAATTTTTGTATATACAGAAAATTCTTATTAAGAGATTCAATTACCAAAGTAAAGTATATAACCGAGTCAATCCAAATTAATCAGTACGATTACGAAGCTTTAAAGAAAAAGAAAAAAACCAACCTAGTGACTCCGTCCGTACATTACAGAACATGTTAACAAGAATTTGAGTTACAATACAGTAGGCCATCAAAATATAGAAATTATTATTGATCTTATGTTACATATTGAAAAGACACTGAATACAAAAAAAATAATACAATAAGCCATTTTTGAACTACGCTCGAATATTAAACAAGCATTCATATAAGTCGCCGCCGTCGTTAACGAACAGTGCATTCTTTAGGAAGTCCCTGAGGGAACCGCTTGGTATCGGCGCAGTAGTTGTAGATCATGTAGTTTTTCTGCACCCATCGGAGCCTCTGTTGGCTGGTGATGTCCAGTTCCTGCGACAGCCACGAATTTCGAGAAGACGAACACTTTGATTTGCCGGAAGACCACACACAAGCATCGGCCTTGTAGTTCCTGTAAGAAGCCGTGAAAGGAGCTTTGCTCCAGTCCGTCTTGATGAGTCCACCGCGAGTCGCCCAATCATCGGCGTTCCAGAGACTCGAGGACACTTTCATCGGCTGGCTCTTCGGGAACGGAACGCCAATGGACTCCAGGTTCTTGAACTCCCTGATCGGAGTGCCGTCGATAGAGAAGCTGGAAAACATTCCAAAAAAAATGATTCACAATTCACAATCAAAATTCAAAAACAATCGGTAAAACATCAAAACCGTGAAATATAACTTACATGATGCGTTGAGGGTTCCAAAGAAGAGAGTAGGTATGGAAATCCTTGGTGGGATCGAACCAAAGGTGAAACTGTTGCTCTCTGTCTCCTTTCCCCCCGCAATATACATTCGTGTGCACCGTGTACGGCTCGCCGGAGAGGTTCCCCAAGAACTCGAAGTCTATTTCATCCCACTTCGATCCTTGTGAACGAAGCTGTTCAATATACAGATAAACATAGAATTTTATCAACAGTTGAGACTTGAGAACAGAGTTGGTTCACTTGCAGAAGAAGAAAGAACTTACATAATACGTAGTGACGGTGCCGGCAGAGTTTCCCGGAACGAGCTTGACGTTCATATCGATCTTCCCGAAGAGATATTCATTCCTGGACTGAAACCCAGAACCGGAGGATCTGTCGAGGCTGAGCGTCAAGAGCTGGCCGTTCTCCAGAATCTTGCCCCTGCCATCTCCCCATGTGACATCTATGTCTCGGTTGAAGTTTGCAGCTGAAGTAACCAACACGAGGCCGAGCAAAACAGACACTAGCAGAGAAGAAATCTTCATGTGTTTTTGATTTGGTCTTTGATGATTTGGGATTGGGAGCGTGGGAGTGTTAATATAGGGGAGAAGATGAAGTTACAGAGGGATTTGGAAGCTTCCTGCTGCTTGTGGATAATAGTTGTGAACAGCTGGAACATAGTGTATTAATTGATGGCTGCTGCTTGGTTCCGCCCATGCAAATGTAATTTCATGCGTTTGGTATGTTTGATTACAGTGCAACCAAACATGAATTCAATTCGTAGTCGGAGCTAATAACTATTTTATTCGAGTTCGAATTTGATCGAGTTCTACTTCCAAAATTTAATTTAATTTAAATGTGTATAGGTTCTCAACTGTTATAGATAGATACAAAATTATTCAATATATATATTGAAATTTAATTTATTTGATAATTCAGCAATTATTTTATTTTTTAGTTTCGTGGATTGATTTGTCCTCCCCTAGTTGATGCACACACCGAAAGCAAACGCGGTTGGGATTTTAGGCGACCGAACCGAATAGGCCGCCTGTCCATAGGCATGCGGCTTTATTTGGGACAAATTGAGTGTGGCCGAAGATTTCACTGGGCCAAAGCCAATGGTGTTCAAACAATTATACCACTAGTATTTAAATATGATTTTTCAGACCCATCAAATAAGTTTAAGGCTTAAATATAAAATAAGTATCGAAACTATATCTCTTTTTAAGAATAGGTATCTAAAATATTTTTTATCTTATATTGGCATCTAACATTGTAAACATTATTATTTTAGGTGCCTAAACTGTCAACAACATTATTTTTCTCCACTAAGTGACGTGTAACAATCTTGTAATTTTGAAATTTATTTAAAAAAAATATTATTATATTTATAAAAACCCTAAATTCTCTTAAATTACAAAAAAAATCCAAATCCCAAAAAACCAAATCCCAACATACTGATGCGGCCCTTTTCGACCATGATTATTGTCGTCGACGTAGTCCCTGTCATCCTCCTAATCATATGCTATTGTAAATGTCACCGATTAACCGTTGGAATCGTATCAAATCACGATTTTTATTTTAGGGTTCTTGAGGTATAAACAATTAAATCTTTGTTGATCGATTGATGATCGTTCACGATTTCATAGGGGTTTTGATTGTGGGGGGTGAGGTCAAGTGGAGCTTTGTTGACGATAAAGGGTGGCAACCAACGTGGGTTTATGGATTAAAATGAATATTTTTACAGTTTTGGGGCTATTTCAAAAATTATGTTATTGTTTAAAAAATTTTATTTTTAAAATTTTAAATAAAAAATATTTAAAATTATCAAATTGTGTCACATGTCACTTAATGATGGAAATTAATATTGTTGATGACCTGAACATCTAAAAGAATAACGTTTGTAACATTAAGCGATGAGATGAATCAAAAAATACTTTAGGCACCTATTCGTGAAAAGAATTATAGTTTGGACGTTTATTTTATATTTAAGCTTAATTTTAATAGTAAACAAATATTGTTATTTTTAGAAGTCTTAAATTCATGCAATTGTATATGTAGTATGTATGTGTTCATTGTCAATTGACTAAAAATTCTAAGTTGATAATATCTTGTAATCATCTCAGATTAACAAAAAATTATGATTTCTGAAATTTTCTAAAATTTATAAAAATAAAATAATTGTTAAATTTATTTTAATATTATGACGATCATTTTGTAATGATATGATAATTTTAATATTAAGTTTATAATTTTTAAAAGGTTAGTGACCAGAATGATATGAAAATTATAATTCATATACTATTAATGTACTTTACCCTAAATGAATAAGCCTTTGTCATATTGGTTTGACACTTTAGGTCAAAAGCTACATGATGGGGCCAACACGTATTGACAAAAAACTCATCCACTGAGATCCACACGTCAAACAAGATATTTACCTAAAATATTTAGTTGATTGTGTTGATTTAAATATATTTAAATATAATTGCGTCATATTTATATTTAAAATCAATAAATATCAATTAATTAAAAATAATAGTAAATATCAAATATTTTAGTTTTTATTTTTATATGCATGATTTTAATATCATCATAGTTTGTATCACTTAAATCATAGGATTAATTACGTGATTGATCACTTATGTTTTTGTTTTGTTCACTTTTATTTACTGATTTAAAAAAAATACAATATGTCGTAACTTTTATTTTTATTCAATTAAGATATGATGATTTTTGTTTTTATTTAACTAAGATATGATCACTTTCGTTTCAATAATTATGATTTAGGATTAATTACATGATTAATCATTTATGTTTATGTTTTTATCCATTTTCTTTATTAATTAAAAAAACATGATAAATTTATTTTAATTTAATAAAAGTATGGTTAAATTATAAATAACAGATATCAAATGTGTGATTATACCAAAATATTTAACGACAGTTATTTCGTGATAACCTCATTTTAGTTAAATAAAAACGAAAGTGGGCTATATATTATATATTTAAATCAATAAGAGAAAATGAACAAAACACACTATCAATCTTGTAGTTAAACCTAAATCATAATATATATTTTTATTAAGCTATGGTGATTATAAGGTAATATATGTTCTGAATATTTATTTAAAAATATATATATATTCTAAATGCTCTTAATCATTTGACAATGATCGCTCAATCACCCTACTATGACCGTGAATCCGTGACCTCTAAGAACAATAATAATATTTTTAATCACTGGAGTAAGTTGGTTCGTGTTAAATCATAATATTAAACATAAAATCGAAACTCAAAGTCTGTGGATAACTATAAAAAAGAGATAAGGTTGGAATCAACAGCTGGCTGCCAAGTGATTAATGTGAGATTCACTGATTGTGAAAAAAGGGGATTAGTTAAGCAGATTTATTGATTAAACTAATTAATCAATAAATTAAATGGTAAAACTGAAAATAGTGGGGCCACGGAGGTGTTGTTTGGTGGATGCATGTCCATTGAGCTTCAAGTCGGCTGGCCAACACACAACACACGAACAAATCATTGTTAAATGTCACAAAAACATTATTATAGAAATGGCCCACGTAAAAGCTGTCCACGAACATAACGTGTAACAATTCAGATAAATATATTGTTCATGTTAAATTTTAAGGTAAATTATTTAAATTATCAATTTTAGTTTATTTTAATATTTAACTGTTCAGTTTTCTTAAAATTATATATAAGTTTAAATTTTGTTTCATTTTAATATCTGGTCGTTAAGAACTTAATGCGTTTAATATTTAAACTATCCGTTTTAATCTGCTTTGGTACTTAAATTTTTATTTTTTTTAAACTTAACGTTAATATTTTAATAGGGTATTAAAATGAAACAAATACTAAACATTAGATATGGTTTTGAAAAGTTTAAAAGTTTAAGTTCTAAAACAGATCAAAACTGATAATTTAGGTATTAAGCGCGTAGTTTACCCTAAAATTTAAGTTTGAGAACAATTTTTCTAATAAAGAATTGGAAATTGAATTTAAAATTATAAGAATAAGATGACAAAATTGAAACTTTTAATATGTTTGAATAATATATTCGTATTGAATATTTAATTTCCAATAAACATTAAACCTTCTTTTATAATTCAAATTTAATTTCCACTAAACAATACGGAAGACTAGTTAAATGTAATTTTTAAGGGTAAATTACGCATTTAGTATACACACTATTAATTTTAGCCCGTTTTAGTACCTAAACTTTTGATTTTTTTAAATCATACTTAACATTTACTTTTTGTTTCATTTTAGTAACCATCATTATAAACTTAACACATCTAGTACGTAAACTATCAGTTTTGATCCATTTTAGTACTTAAACTTTTAATTTTTTTTCAAAACACAACGTTAAATTTTGAACAGAGGTATTAAATTGAAACAAAAACTAAATTTTAAGTATGACTTTAAAATAATTAAAAGTTTAGGTGTTAAAACGAACTAAAACTGATAGTTTAGGTCTAAACTCATAATTTATCCTTTTTTGAAAAAAAATAGTTTATTGCAAGTGGAACTGTGTATCCAAGATGGATAATTTTTATGAAAGAAATGTGCTCATTGCATTTTCCTCTAGCCCGCGGTGGTTTATCCTAGCTGACAAAGCGGTGGAAACGGCGGTGCAAAGCCGATAACATCCTGACAACGGCTGTCGTCTCTGTGCTGGAGCTCTGGTTTCTGAAAACTTTACATCATTTTATCTTATTTAAGATTTTTTTAAATTTAGTATTAATTTTTATTTTAAAACTAAATTATAAATTCTGTCGCTTACATTTTTTCTCTGTTTTCTATTTTATCACTAAGATTAAGAAAACCATAAAAGTTAATATCTTAAGATCTGGATAGAGGAAAATTATATTTTGTAAGGATCTAAAACAATTGTGTAAATTTGATATGCAAATTTAATTTTTTTTTCAAAACGGAAGTACTGTGTGCAGACATATGGTGAAATAAGAGTGAAGAAAGTTGATGAATTTTATTTCTAAATTACCTTTCCAAGAATTCAATGATTCTGGGTTTCAAATCAAATTAATAAACACTGCTATTGACACAAGTTATATAAGCACACAGACAGAGGAGAGTCTACAAACGATAAACATGCAAGTGAAATTGTTGTTCAGTGGAGACGAAACACAGCATACTTGCATACAGATCCCCGAATTTGAGAGACGCAGAGGCACCTCTTGAATCAACTAACACACCTAATGCATTAGAAAAATGAGTCAACGAGGGAGGGGCCATTTGAATTTAAAAAGCAAATTCGGCCCCTCAAATAAACAGCTTACTTATTAACTGTACAGGGGATTCCCAATGTCTCAATTAGGGTTCTTCGGGTTTGAAACCGATAATTTCATCAGATCGGTGTACCTCTAGTTTTTCTCTTTGGTATTGGTGGTATTGGTGGTGGTGGTGGTGGTGGTAACTTCCAAAACCGTAGTAAGAAATGTGAGGCTTGGATAGCTAGGCTATTCTTCTTCCTCTTCCTCTTCCTCTTCTAACTCGACTATTTGTACCTGTCTCTCGGCTGCTTTCTTCCTGATAAAGAAA